AATACGAGTTGATACAACATAAAGAACATTAAATACGAGTTGATACAACATAAAGAACATTAAACAGTAATGTTGTCTTGCAAGTGTTCCAAGACACAAGAAAATCTAATGATGACTGAAGACATTACAAATTGTAAGACGACTTTTTAACATCATCTATACACATTTAACTGAACCAAATACATACTAAACATTTTTAACAGGACATTTATTCTGGGAAACTAGTGGCTTCATGAACACTGTTCAGCTTTACAATATAGATTGTATATGATAATTATTAACATACCAGCATCAAGGGAGGTGTCAGTGATTGCCACAAAGTCAACTACTTTAGAAGTGAAGTCTAACACTTGGTGATTGTCCCCTTTCATGACAGTTACCGTGTGACGGTCTCCATAACTTGCCCTTGGCATTCCCCCAGAAAATATGACAAAGTCCTCTCTATAAGAATTAACAAAATAAAGTTCTTTTAGTGCCAAGACATTAGGATTGTACTGGACTTGTGTTCCATTTCTTATATGGACTCAGTTTTCCAATATAACAAATATTCAATAACAAATCTCACGATGCTTTGTGATAAAACTCTCACTCGTGATGTCTAATCGATAGCCACAAGTTATATGGTGTTCGGCATTCTTCTTTCCCGAGTATCCTAGTATCGTAGAAGCGATGTGGGTCTAGGACAGTTCATGTACTGCTTCAATCATTAATACTCAATTAGTAACTTAACATTTATGAAGAAAATACATAAGCCTAAAAATTTAATACACTTTAACATTGGTAGTTTTACTTTTACAAAATAAGGTATCTTGTATTTAAAGTCTGAGAGTAATCTACTCTATACATAAGGCAAGAAAACAGTCTAAACAGCAACTGAAAACAAACAGATGTTGAGTGCTGGAGACAGATTAATTACAAGATCAGCCTGGAACTAATAGAATCAATATAATAATTCAATTTGTTTACACTTTAAATAACCAGTGAAATGTTTATTTAATGGGTTTTCCAGAATCATTAGGTGAATAACTGCTGTCTAAATGGTTTATCTTCTAATTTTCTTTTTATAATCTATTAAAATTCATACAACATGTTTCAATACCTTTCCACAAAACTTAGTAAATATATAAACGTAAAAATGTGTGTACTTTATGTAGACATTAAATCAATTACTTCTTCATAACCATTTTTATATCAACTTTGCTGTAGCTAAGGTAAAGAATCCACTTACTCTCCTATCACAGAAAGCCATATCAACTTTGCTGTAGCTAAGGTAAAGAATCCACTTACTCTCCCGTCACAGAAAGCCATATCAACTTTGTTGTAGCTAAGGTAAAGAATCCACTTACTCTCCTGTCACAGAAAGCCATATCAACTTTGTTGTAGCTAAGGTAAAAAACCCACTTACTCTCCCGTCACAGAAAGCCATATCAACTTTGTTGTAGCTAAGGTAAAAAACCCACTTACTCTCCCGTCACAGAAAGCCATATCAACTTTGTTGTAGCTAAGGTAAAAAACCCACTTTTTTTACCTTAGCTACAGCAAAGTTGATATGGCTTTCTGTGATAGGAGAAAATCCACTTACTCTCCTTTTACAGAAAGCCATAACATCTTCTTCATACTTTTACAAGGAAAAGGACCTGAAAAAATAAGTTTATTTTCTGTCATCCAACAACCAGTTTAGTTATATTACTACAAACTGAAAATACACCAATGTGTTAAAAGTTCTTTACAGGCACATTGTGTTACTATGTTAAAAGTAATTAAAATAATAAGTCTTTTTTGTTTTTGTAACTCTTAATACCTAAATGTTATGTCACAGAAAGAACAACCAGTTTAATAACATTGACAGAGTTTCCAAGACACCAACATGTTATAATATCATTAAGATAGAGAGAACAACCAGTTTATTAACATTATGACAGAGCTTCCAAGACACCAACATGTTATAATATCATTGAGATAGAGAGAACAACCATTTATTAACATTACGACAGAGCTTCAAAGACACCAACATGTTATAATATCATTAAGATAGAGAGAACAGTCATGCCATTTACAAGGTTTCAGTTCCACAAAGCAACAACATTTAGAATGTTACCAAAAAATGATTTACACTATGTTGTAGTAACAACAACAACAAAGCACTCAGTTAAATAGTATTCTAGTAACATCAAGAGATAAGATTCCATTAAATAATTTTATAGTGACATCAAGAGACATTATATCTCCTCAACTCTACACCAGCTCGATATATCTCATAATCTGTTAGTACAATGTCACTAGAAAATGTGATAAATTCACCGACATTATTAGTGATGCCAAATTTAGTAAAAAACCAAATGATTCAGCCAACACAAGATCAAGAGTAATCAGCTACAGTTATATAAAACATGAAATTAATTACAATATTACAGACTTGTTGAGAAACACCCTTCAAAAATACATAGTTCTCGAATCTGTCTTCGGGCTTGTCCTGTTACTTACCATAAGGAGTCTTAGGATTTTCATAGGGCTTGGAAGGATCGGCAGTAGTCCACACAATGTAGCTTCCATCATTATGAGTACTCATAAATCGTGTGCCATCCCTGTACCAGGTAACCGACTCCAGTTGCTGAGAAAAATAAGCAGATGCTTGAATTATATTTCATGCATTAGTCACTGCATTAACCAACTAACTTTGAGCAATATACACTTACCCTTCCTTTTTTTTTTTTAATATATATAGGTTAAAGTTAATATTGATATTTGTATAATGAGCCAATATATCATTCTTTGATGGACAATATCTACCTAGATTCTAAAAGTAAAGAACATTAAGACCTCTAAACCAGATCTAAAATAGTCCATCTATAAAGTCCACGTATATGTAGTCCAAGAAATATTTAATGCTACTACTATGTACTGTGCAAGTTGGTTTTAAAACAAGGTCATTTTTTCAGTGCACTTGTCACCAAGAGTAAACTTACTATCAATATAGGTCTATTAAGACAAGTGGCTGCTTTCTGATAAAGCATGAAACACTTCACTATAACATAAAAACCCGTTTTAATAGGATACAAAATGTAGTGTCAATTATGTATACACAAACAAATCAATAGTTATCAAATACATTAATTGTAAATAAGTGATTTTCTTTCTTTTATCAACACTATAAAACAATAATGATAAAATTTATATAAATCTAAAACATTCAAAAAGACTCAAATATCATAACTCATAACAAAGTCTCTCTGTAACGTTTGATTTTTAAATGAACAAACACTTAAGTGGAGGAAAAGTGCTATCTGTAAAAAAAATAATAAAATGTTGTGTTATTAAGCACAAGAAAGTAAAGATAATTTTGCTCACCTGGCTCCCTGTGTAGGTTTTATCTGCAGCTTGGAGTTTCATGTCCCACAAAACCATCAGTCCACGATTATAACCAATTAAGATAAGATTAGGATCGGATGGATTTTCAGCTATTCCTTCAACAGCTCCAGGATTGAGCTTGTAATCATCAGAAACACTAGACATAATTAAAACTGGTGGGTGTCCAATAGGTAAAAAACAAACAAGCTTCTTACTGTTTGTCACCTATACAATGTTAATTAATTGTTAAATACCAGAATAGTGTTCTCAAGTGTACTATGTTGGTAAAGTACTAATTTAGTATTTCACTATACTGTTAGCATTAGTACTTAAAGTAGCTACTACTACATCCACACCAAGCTTTCAATAGAGTGGCAGTGTGATTCAGGACGTTGAAAATACAAGGATCTTACTTAAAGTAGCTGCTACTACATCCACACCAAGCTTTCAACAGAGTGGCAGTGTGATTCAGGACGTTGAAAATACAAGGATCTTACTTAAAGTAGCTGCTACTACATCCACATCAAGCTTTCAATAGAGTGGCAATGTGATTCAGAATGTTGAAAATACAAGGATCTTACTTAAAGTAGCTGCTACTACATCCACACCAAGCTTTCAATAGAGTGGCGATGTGATTCAGGACGTTGAAAATACAAGGATCTTACTTAAAGTAGTTGCTACTACATCCACACCAAGCTTTCAATAGAGTGACAATGTGATTCAGGACGTTAAAAATACAAGGATCTTACTTAAAGTAGCTGCTACTACATCCACACCAAGCTTTCAATAGAGTGGCGATGTGATTCAGGACGTTAAAAATACAAGGATCTTACTTAAAGTAGCTACTACTACATCCACACCAAGCTTTCAATAGAGTGGCGA